ATAAGGCGCACCCTGGAACAATGAAAAGAAATAGAAAGATTTAGCATGCCTGGTACTTCATTCATCTCAGGTGCAACCAAAAAATAGTCCCTGATAAATGGCACTGAATAGAAACAACAAGAAACGCTCCAAACGGATACGACAATAAATAGCACTGAATAGAAACAATAAGAAACATTCCAAACGGGTACGGCAGATGGATAAAGCATGAATCATCATGAATATATGGCATCAACACTCAGAAACCAACAGTCACAGGCCACAGCGGTACAAGGTTTGATGCTCTCACCAACCTGAAGGATGGATGCTCATGCTCATCTTGATGCCCCAATCACACCAACCCCCTGTAACTGAAACAGAGGCAGACAATTTACTGACACGGTGTGCAGTCCAACAACTATCATGGACCATCAAGGGATATACATCACATTAACAGCAGTAGGGCATAAGAACTTTGAGGAGTGGATCAGACCCTTCAGTTAAGCAGATAGCAGATTTGAGTGCATTTGCTGAAGCCAGCTGAAGCAAACTGAGCATTTTCTGTCTGCACGAAACACCCAAAAAAAATATAGCTAATTGCTCCTTAGAATTGAAAAACAAATGAGATGAGAGGTTTCATTAAATATGCACTACTGCATTTGCATTCTTAACTGCATGCATTGTCAGTATTATGAAATGCCAGAATGTTTCAGAACTTACAACTATAAAGAATAGAATATCTAGTGATGTCTGCACTGAGTGTAACAATTATCCAGACTGTCCCAAGAACATCACAATGGATCAAACCAATACAATACCAGTACTCAGGAATGCTCAAGTAAACCAGAGCATGATAAAGGAACAACGGGAAGATGCAAAAAAGGAATATATAATTATCGTCATTCATACTGAGAATTTACAGGAGTTTAGCAAAGAAAGGGTGACACCATATAGAAAATCTTAGTATCACAGGATTTACAGTTGCATCCTTCAGATTTCAGAAGAACTCAGTCTAAGCGATTCGGCCAGTCTCCGAGTGCTCGCAATTACATTTACTAACTTGCTTACGGAACTCGTTTCAACTCTTCACTAACATGCACATCTGGGCATTCCTGCAACAAAAGCAGAAGGTCCTTTGGAATAGTTTGGAGCTTGCTTTCCTCTGGTTGACGATTATCCTGAAGAGTACTCTCGTGAAACAGCTGCAGCGCACCCTGTGCTGAAATTTCTTGCACAGAGTTGTGCAAATCTTCAAGTTTTCCTCTACACTGGGCGTTGAGCAGCAACTTTTCTTTTAGCCTGTCAGGAAGACTAGCTAATGCACTGCTTAAAGGACAGCACAAGGAAAATATACTAAATGAGTATCACACAAGAGGAACTTTATACAAGAAAACTGTTATTCGCACGACCAGAAATTCAATTTACCTAGTAATTCCCCGAACAAGACCCCACTTGAATCCGACATCCGCAGATTGCCTATGCCCAAGGTTGAACCCCTCTTGGGCAATATCCTTCTGCCCTTCGGTTATACCATCCCTATAGCCCATCTACAGAGAAACCAAAAGCCTTACTTTCAAACTTCTTCGATATACACGCAAATTTCAGGATTCATAATTACTCAACAATCATGTACCTTATGAAACTGCTCCTGCCTGTGGTCCCATTCTCTTTTTAAGTCGGAATCATGCCCTGGAGAATCTGAGGCATCACCCCAGACATCGTCGTCCGCAGCAGCAGCATCACCGTTGCCTGAATGGAAATTGGTGGAAAACAACTAGTTGTGAACTTGTGATGACATGGAATGCTAGTATTCAGGTTCAAACAGAATCAACATTGTTTAACTAAGCAGAAACTTGTGTCCACGTAACATACGTGGCAACAGTAGACAGATAGAAGGTCGCAAAATCTAGTGATACTACATCAGAACAAGGCTAGAGCACTACCACGCCCATTGGTTCCTTCCTCCCGCGATGTTGATGCCTCCACGTGTAGCTCTCCCAGGGATGCTGCCAAACCCCTCACGTCCTCGGAGCCAGCCATCACGAAACCAATCTGTACCTGAAACATGGAGCACCGATGAGAACGGTCAGTTGACCGGCAGCAGCTTATTTTTTCCCCCTTTAGTTCATTGGCCAGTATCATAAACATACACCCTTGTTTCATATGCCAATTGTTAACTTATCCTGCCTCTTTCACTAAAAGGCGTCATCACTAACACCCAAATACCCCAATATGCAATGACCTATGCTCCTCTTTCTTCCTCAACCACAAGCTGCTCCAGTTGCTACCCGCTACAGAGAGCAGCACTCCAGAGGGAGCCCTTCCCTTTGTCTTTTTAATGCCTTTCTCCACACAAAACATGCGCAGAGCACTGTACTTTACACAAAATTTGATCCACATCCAGGACTTGATGTGTAATACTTATGGCACAACTAGATGTGCTTTAGCAAAACTGTATCTTTTTCTACTCAACATGCAAAATTTTGTGGCCCGAGAACAGCAAAATTATTTATACATCTCATGGACATACACAGAAATTGTTGACAGAGAGTAAATTCACATTCACCCAATCACGGAAACTCTCACAGAGGGCATCAAAGTGTACATCAAACCTTCCCCTCGCTCGCTCCCCATCCATCCTGGAACCTAGCTAGGGCTTGAAGGGATCGCAGAACTCGTGCGACGGAACCAGCAAGGAAGGAAAAAAAAAACGGAAGAGGAAGGAAACCTTGCCTGACTCTGCTCGAGAGGGACGACGAGGAGCTCTACTGGGAAGGCGGCGGCTGGTGGGGTTTGGGGGCGCCGGAGGGAACCGACGACGGGGATCCGCGGGGAGGCGGCGGCGTCGGCAAGAGTAGAGAAGAGAGCGAGCGGCGAGGGGATAGGAGTCGTGGACCAGCCTGCGTTCCAGAGAGACCGATGGTGCCCTCCTCCTGTCAGCCGTCCATCGCATATCCAACGACCGCGGCCGTCCAGGATTTACCTTCTCTTTCTTGTAGTCTCTTCTCTTGTGAGGTAGTCTTTTTTGCTGAGAGCTCCTCATATGTTCAAATGGCATAAAAATTGAAACACACCTCATGCATAAAATTGTCTACCTCACAAAAAAATAGAATTTTTTGAATTTTTTTAGTATTTCTTTTGATTTTTTTCGTTAACGCATGTGCAGATGAGTTCGGGTGCAGAGATGGATTTTTGCTTCTCTTGCGTTTTTTGTAAAAGCATTTTCTGAGACAAGAAAAAGTGCATACCACTACTTCACTCGTATCCATTATCAGTTTACCACTAAGGATGCAAGCGGGCATCCCGCCAAGATCAGTGCAAATTGAACTAAATTTGAGCAAGGCAATTAAAACTAATGATATTTATTTTGACTACATTGCGAGGTGGATCGGGCATCTCTACCGCATTATTTGTGAGAATTATTTACCAATAAGGATATTATTTTCTTTGTTATAGCTCCAATTCAAAGGAACTCGCATTGCGACGCCAACTGAATGAGCAATTGGCATAAATGCTGCCTCAATTTCAATAATTCAAATCTCATAGAGATCTTTTCTTCATACTCGACTAGCCCTGGATTGGGGATAATGAATTTTTTCAAATCTTGTTGGCTCTCGATTGGAAAAAACTCAATAAAAGGAGAATCACATGATGTATTTCTCCAAACAAATACGAGTTGTTCTAAAGAATCAACATAGTCAGTTATTAATGGAATTCCTGAAATACTCGACTTCCAAACCCGATCGTTGGAGATGAAGAATCTACTTTGGTTGAATTGTACAATGCTACCGATAAAGGACACTTTTTTAGAGCAAGAAATTCATACCAGGCACAAATTACTTGCTCCATAGAAAGAAAAAAACACAAAATGATTGATGTTTCGAAGGTATTGTGCTTTTTCACTTCCTTTTTCGCAGGAGTTTTTACTTTTGTAGTAAGCAAAAACGAACACATCAATCATCAACTTATTATTACACAAAAATACAAAAAGCTACATCAAGATAGAAAAATGGTGTGGGAATAGCTTACAAGCTTCAACCAAACAACAAGCAAAAAAAAAATTAATGACATTGTTCCAACTTGAAGTTGAGGAGGGCTTCCTACATAAGCAGACTGCCTAACGAGTTAAATGTTGAACCTTGAAGAAAAGGATCAAACACAAGCCAAGAAAATGCATTTTCACGTTTATATGCTCAAACCGACATGGTAGCAACCTCCTTCCGTCTTTGAAGAGAACTCCCAGCTTCCTCACAACAACACGAAGGGCGCCGATCCATCGACAAATAAAGACGCTTCTCCGAGAGTTAAGGTGTGATATGGACATCATAGTCATCCTGAAGACTAATTTTCCCTTTCAACGACAAAGTAGCAGTCTCTACTTTATGTTAAAAAAATACGGCCATAAAGCCCAATGTTTTACAAAGAAGACTCCCAAACCATGGTCGGCGCACCAAAAAGACCCGATGATCAAATTTGAACACCATTTGTCGTGCTACGTCAAGCTCACTACAAGAAACTTTACCGATGACCAATAAATCACATGCAAGGAGAATCGACCGCACCACCATGTTGTTGGGCCAGTCCAACCGCCCCCACCAGAACAAAATAATGTGGCGGTTGGACCGGTCATTTTCCTGAAAATGGCAACCCCAATAATGTTTTGGTTTGGTGGCGTCAGCACTAACCGCGCCAGCTGTGGGTCAATACAGCAAAAGTCAAAGGATAGGATGGGCATGTTTACAAAAGAGTTAGTTCAAAAATTAAAGTTACTAATTACTCTCATTGTCCCATAATATAAGAGCGTTTTTCAGACTACACTAACGTGAAAAGCGCTTCTATATTATGAAACAAAGAGAGTACTAAACATTTTCAAAAAAATAAATCAAACATGTGGTTTTGGCCTAGCAGCAGCACCGGTTCCTAATTTGCCCCTCATCAAAAGAAAAGAATTAAAAAAAAATAGGGCGCGACGCACGTCAGAGGAGAGCAGCCGGTTCCCCCGGTCTTATCCACCCGACGAAATGGAAGCCTGCGCCTCCACCAGCCGCGTCCTCCTCCCTTTCCCTCCCCGCGCCGCGCGGCCGGCGGCGGCCGCCTGCTCCCGGCGCCGCCGGGCGGGGGCCGGCCGGAGGAGAGGGGTGCGGCTGGCCCCGGCCCGCGCGTCGCTCGACAGCGCCGCGGTGCTCCTCGACGCCGCCGTCGGGGCGGGGGCGGGGACGGGGACGGGGTACTCGCAGGCGAGCTACTACACCTCGCTGGGGCTCTTCGTGCTCTCCGTGCCGGGGCTCTGGTCGCTCATCAAGCGCTCCGTCAAGTCCAAGGTTCCTCCCCTTCCTCCTCCCCCAGTCTTGCTTTCATCCATGGCCTCTGCTTTTTTCTATACTGTCGATTAAGGTTCATGTGTTTCTCCTGGATGGATGTATTGTTTGGTTCAGTTCTTGGATGATGATGGTAACTGACACCTGTTGTCATCTGCTACTCTGAACAGATTGTGCAGAAGACCTTCGTCAGGGAGGAAGGGCAGCCGACGGCGCCGAGCCTGGTGGCAGGGGAGATCCTCTCCTTCTTCACGCGCAACAGCTTCGCCGTCTCCGACCGCGGCGAGGTCATCACGTAAGTAGCACGCCGCCTTTTGGCCTTGGCGCGACGGTGTCTTCCATTGCTCTGCAAGTGTCTAAACAGAACCGTCGAATTATACTTCAGCAAGCATTGTGTGACAGCTGCTTTACTTGCGTTATTATTATGGTTCTGAAAGCACACTTGTTCAGAAAGCACACTTCAGTATTGGACAGTAGACATGTATTTTGGTGTTTCAGAGTTAAAACACTCAAATTGATTGTGTAATAACCATACAAAATAATACTTGTTACTTGGGGCGCTTTGCGTTAGATTTACATTCATAGGGCTAGTTAAGTATGGTACAGCCGTCAGCTCACTTGAAAGAAGATGCCATCTAATATCTCATCCTTATTGGTCAACTGCTGCACAATAAGACTAGTTATTATAGTAGCTATATATGTCGTTCGAAATTGCTTCACACACGACAGTCAACGCACGATGCATGCACGATTCTCCTTCCCCAACAGTGCTCCTGCATGCATGCTAGCTGTTGGTGCTATCACGTCTGAATCGTGCATTCGTGTGTATAGCAGCGCTGTATGTCGTTCATGTACTGTGTAAGATGTAATCTGGCACAAGCTTATGGATACTATTTTTTAAGTCGGATTGCATCATAAACTGAGATACTTTATGTTTCCAAACAGCTTCGAGGGCTCAATGACACCAAGCAGTGCTCAGGCAGCACTGCTGACCTTCTGCACTGTCATTAGCCTGGGGAGCGTCGGGCTTGTTCTGTCGATCGCAGTCCCAGAAGGCGGCAACAACTGGTTCTGGCTTATGACCTTAAGCCCCTTGGCGTACGTCCCTACGAGCGACTCTGCTAGCCGAAATCCCAAATGAAACTTACGACACAGGTGTAGTAACCGTCTGTCTGTTTTTGATGGATGTTCCAGGGGAGTGTACTACTGGACAAAAGCATCGAGGAAAGAGGAGATCAAGGTGAAGATGGTCTTGTCCGACGACGGGAACAACGTATCCGAGATTCTGGTGCGGGGCGACGATGTGCAGGTCGAGCAGATGAGGAGGGAGCTCAAGATGAGCGAGAAGGGGATGATATACGTGAAGGGGATATTCGAGACATGACCAATAGCTTTGATGTCTGGAGTATAGTGACCAAACAAGCAGTTCAAACCAGGCTTTCCTGCGACGCGATGCAAAGTGAAGGTGAGAGAGGAGTTAGGGTGGGTTTCAGTATCCACGGGCAAATCTGTGTCTTGGCTTCGAGAAAAAGAGATGGTTTTTGTCGGGATTTCGGTATGGCTCCTAGGTCCAATTGATCCCAGTATCTGTACCATGTTTGTATATCAGCTACAACTAATGAATTACACTCACAATGATACATCTACAATGTATGCGGTCTAACAGAGAACCCTAGACCATGTGTGTAAAGTGCCGTATGGCTGAGGCTTTGTTCGGTTAATCCTCTCCCCAAGAGGATTGGAGGGGATTGGCAAGGATTGGTTCATATTTTGACTTAGAAGAGGTTTAAATCCTCCTCAAACCCCTTCAATCCACTCGGATTTACACGCAACCGAACAAGGCCTGAAGGTGAAAGTCCTGCCGGCAGTTTTTGATCTCTCTGGTTCACTTTCAGGTTCTCAGGAGGGACACCCCTTGCATCCCGAATCCACCTCTTAACATGTGTTTCTCCAGTATCTCAGGGTGAAAACATGCAGAACCTTGAACCTTCATACATGCATGCTTCTTACCTTCAGCGCATGGCAGCACAATAATCCCATTTGTGTGGAATTACTGCACTCGCACTCGAATTCTTCGCCGTTATCCACCATGTTTGCTACGAAGACTGCCCTGCTCTATTTCTTCCTTGTTTCTGCTGGTGTGTGCTTCTATTCCTTATATATCATAAAGTTGGGTCATGTATGGATGCACCTTTAAACTATACTCCGTATATACTTCCTCTGTAAACAAATATAAGAGCGTTTAGATCACTACCTATACTCCGTATATACTTCCTCTGTAAACAAATATAAGAGCGTTTAGATCACTAAAGTAGTGTTCTAAACGCTCTTATATTTCTTTACGGTGTTTTGGGATATGTGGGGATTTAGGGGTTTGACCGGGATAATCCCCACCAATTCCCTAAAATACACTAGTACCAAACAAGGCCTTAGTGTATCTTAAATTTAATAAACATACAGTTGCTACATAATCAACCAATCATACCTGTCAAGATGGTTCTTGGCGCTTCATCAGCAATGCAGTCAAACCAATGAAGAATAGATACAGTTCATCAGCAAATGCGCAAGAGTTAATTAGACCAGAGCAACATTTGGTAAAGGAACAACAAGAATATGCAAACCTCAGGAAGAAAATATTATTATTGCCATTCAAACTGCGAAATTACAGGAGTTTCATACAAAGGAAGGGGTGAAATGCTTAAGAAAATCTTAGTATCAACAGATTTACAGTTACATCCTTCAGAAAGAATCAGTCTAATAAGTGATTTCTACCAGACTTCGAAATCAGTATCAACAGATCTACCATTCCATTACGACCGTGGACCTTTCATTTACTTTGCTTAATAAAGGGGTTGCAGGCATCATTCTGATGCAGAGGCCGGGGGTGATCCCCCTTTTCTAAAAAAAAACAATTCCATTACGACCTTTGCTTAAGGAACTTGTGCCGGTTCTTCAGGGACCTGAACATCTGGACATTCTTGCAACAACAGGAGAAGGTCGACTGGAATAGTTTGGAGGCTGTTTTTCTCTGATGGGTCATTATCCTGATGATGAATACTCTCATGAAACATCTGCAGCGCACCCACCGCTGAAATTTCTAGCATGGAGTTGTGCAAATCTTCAAGTTCTCTTATGCGGCGGACATCGAGCAACAACTTTTCTTTCCGGCTGCTGGAAAGACCAGCCAATGCACTGCTTTTTTGAAGGATAACAAAAGTAGAATACAATAAATGAGAGTGATAGAAGAGGGAGTCTTGTCACAAGAAAACTGAGATTGGCACAACCAGAAATCCAGTTTACCTAGTAATCCCGCGAACAAGATCCCACTTGTATCCTTGCCTAGACCCAACATTCCAGCCCTCTTGTTCACCTTTGTTCCGCGCTTTCGTTATGCCATCCCTATAGCCCATCTACCAAAGAAACCGAAAGCCTTACTTTCAAACATTTACATATACTGCAGGCTGACTTTCAACCGCTAGCGTGGATCTCCTCTTCAGTGTCGCCTCGCCCCTCCTCCTCCACCATCTTTTCATCATCCCATGTTCGGAACTCCACCACAGGGCGATTCGGGAGGAGATGAGCTGCATCTCTGATGGCCTCCTCCAACGCCTCAACGTCCCGAGCGGTCGCGCCGATGCAAATGATCTCGACGGCAAGATGCCTGAGGGAAGAGAGGTGTTGGATGCCAAAATCAAGACCGCTGCCTGCGTCAAACGGAACCCACAGCTTCTCAAGCCTCGGCATGGCCCCGGCTTCAAACATCAGTCCTTCCCCATTGCTCCAGCAGGTGAAGTGGAACTCCCTCAGACATACAAACATGCTGCTGCTTATGATAAGCCGCTGTTTGGGAGCAGCTGATTTCGACATCAGCCAGAGAAACAGCAAAGCAGGTAACTCTCCAAGGATCTCTAGTGTTTCCTCTTCTACTGGATCAATATTGATATCTAGGTATGTGAGCTTGTCCAGTGACGCAACCCAAGGAGGAACTCTGGGAAAGTTGTAGTACGTGCCCATCTGAAACTTTTGCATGAGATGAGGGGAGGGGAACCAGGAGTCCAGTAAGAACTCCACTGAATAGCCATGATAACTACGAATGCATATAGATCGAAGGCTGAATCTGCCCAATTTGCGCAGCGAGGATACCAAGTTATCCACAAAAGTATCTTTGTTACTGTGTGTACTGACAATAGACCAGCGTAGCCCAAGGATTTTCAGTTTAGTCAGACTGCCCAGCTCCAGCAAACACGACGCCATGCTGTCCCGGTTGACTTTGATATCTGATAGCTCCTGCAGAGCTTGCAGATTCCCAATTCCTTCAGGTAATTCCAAATTACCGACGCGCAAACATGTCAAATGTTGCAGCTGAACAATGCTTTTGGGCATTTTTGTGATCTTTGTCCATCCCATATCCAGAGTCTTCAAATGCTGTAGTTCTCCTAACTGCTCAGGGAGTGCAGAAATACTTCTAACGTGGAGTCGCAAATACTTCAACTGGAAAAGCTTCCTCAGATGCTCAAAACAGCTGCTCTCCATCTCCTCGCCATTCTCAATATCAAGTACTCGCAGAACACGAAACTTGGAAAGAGAAGGCATCTTTTCGGCATACCCGACAATACTGAGCGAGCGGCAATGAGAAATGATTGCTGTTGATGGAAGCATGATGTGCTCTTGGTCATAATAACTGAGAGATAGCCTACGGATCTTATGCTGAAGGACTAATATCTCATTTTGGTTACGGAAGAAGGTGGAAAAGTTTTCTTCCATTGACTTAGATGTAAGGAGATCCAGAATCATATCATGCACTCGGCATGAAACGACTTGACCGTCATATTGGATTTCCACTGGCTGAAGCATACTTCTATTGATAAGATCATTAAAATAGCACTCTCCTATTTCCTCCAAATCTCGTCCACCATTTGTATCAATGAATCCTTCAGCGATCCATCTCCTTATTAATCGATCCCTCTCAATCTCATAATCCTCCGGAAATATACTTAGATAAAGTAAACATGTCTTCAAATGGTGGGGAAGATCATCATAGCTAAGAGAAAGTATCCTTCTCATCTCTTCTACACCGGGGTCCTTCCCCAGTGTGGAACCGATCGAATTATACACCCACTCCCATTCTTCATTTGTGCAATCTTTATTAGCCAATAAGCCTGCTATTGTAAGAATTGCTAATGGTGAACCACCACACTTTTTTAATATTTCCGAGGAGACTTCTTCCAATTGAGGAGGACATATATCTTCTGAGCCAAATATTCGTTTAAAAAATAAACTCTTAGAGTTGGCTGTCGTCAGAGGCATTATTTCATAGACACGATCATGGCGTCGAGAGCAACATGACTTGGCTATATCAATACTACGTGTTGTCGTCATTATTCTGCTTCCCAGATCATTCAGAAACAAAGAACATTTGATAATCTTCCATGCTTGAGTACTCCATATATCATCAATAACAACTAAGTACCTGCAAAGTGCATGTTTTGCAGATCTCATGAATAAGGAAAATATATGAACAAATAAATAAATGGCATATTTCCTTGTCGTCAAATGTTAGTAAATCATGAGGATCATATAGGGCTTCAGGTTTTTTGAAATTCACTGTTTATGGGGACAGAATCTTTTCTCTTTTCTATATTATTACAGACAGCCATTTATCCCCTTCCCTAATGGTTTGGCCACACCACAAAAAGTTGAATTTATCAAAGCACTATTCAGAAAGATAACCTCATGAACTGTGAACCAAAGCCTATTCAGAACTGCATATGCTTAAAAATGAAACAAAATCATCTATATTTAATCTAATTAAACAACAGTAAAATGTAGTAGAATGTCTAAGTTAGTAAATAAACATCAATACTGAAGAAAAAAATGATGCAGTACCATCAGCCAACTCCTCATTAAAAGTTCATGAATATACCTCTTGTTCTTTAAAACTTCTCTTATTGTGTCAATGAGCTTTCCCTCGTCCTGTATATCTGTGCTAGGAAGCTCTTGCTGGCAGACTTGAGAGAGTATATTTCTTAAGATCTTACTCACATCTGGTTGTTGTGACAAGGAAACAAAAGCTTGACATTAGAACTGGCCTTCCAGTTTACGAAAAACCTCATTGGCAAGTGTAGTTTTACCCAGACCACCAGGACCCACAATAGATATCACCTTTTGCTGCTGCACCGATGCACCCATCCCCTCCATTAGGCACTTGATGAGCTCGCTTCTTGGCTTGTCAATTCCGACAAGCCCGTCTGGCTCAGCATAGAGTGAAGGCAAACGAGGGTCGATGGCCCTTGAGATGCTAGGTTCGAAGGTGCGCTCATCGAGCTTATACCTCATACGTCGCTTGCTTGCATCTTCAACACGTGCCTTGAGTTCCTGGATTTGGCTGGATATTTGATGGCGCGCCCTCAGCGCCTTGAGCTGCTGGACCACACTTTGTACAAGCCCTGCTGCCTTAGCACGGTCAGTTTGGCCAAGGCTTTTCATAAAGTCGTCTATGCAATCCTCAATGTCATAAGACATCTCCCGGACTTGGTCCCTCCATTCCTTGGTCTGCACATCAAGATCACGGTCCACCTCTGCCAGCCTCTGAAGGAGCGCGTTCATGCTGCTCAGCTCATCTTTCATGAACTCCACCTCCCTGTGCACACTTTTCAGCTTTGCGTACTCCTCCCCGAGCAGGGCGGTGAGCTTGGCGATGACAGAGGTCATCACTCCTGCCAAGGCGCTCACCATCTGTGGATGCTCTATGAGTGTAGCTACCAAAATGCCCAGTTCAGCACGACAAAGCAAGCACCTGGCAATATATGTATGCGTCACTAAGAGAAGTAGGTGTCATTCATACTGAATAAGAACCATAATTACAATCATAACTTTATAATTTAGTAAAAAAGAGAAAACCACTCACATGCCACAGTCAATTTCTATCAGAATTCAATTGCTCTCCAAATGACACAAATACACCAAAGAAGTAGAAATGATGACCATGCCATTTCTCCAATTGTAGCAGCTTCAGTCAAATCATTGCTAGAATAAAAGAAGTGGAACTAAAAGGTTTAAATACATTTGAGTTGCTACACTAACTAAGTCTACTGGAACTGGAACTATCAGTCCAGTCGCATGACTTATGGAGTTACTGTATGTCTTTTGAAAGCACCAGTTTGCCTGTTTGTGCAAAAGAAACAGGAACTGGCAGGGCTCCAAATTTCAGGACACACTAATCTACGTGCATCGTTCATTGCCTCCAACCCATCGCCAAGATTAATTAAGATTGTTATATTGTCATCTTAATTTCAGTAAGATCTATGAAGTCAACTACGACTGGTTAAATACGATGGCGTCGTCTTATCCAGCAAGATCTATGTGAAGGAACGCACTAATACTTCTGAAACAGCAAGAAAAATTTCGCTGCAGAAGCTGATAAGAAGAGCAAGCTCCATACCTATTGGACTGGACGGAAGCCAGGCCAGCGCCGCCGCCGGCGAGATCAACAAATCCGCAGCGGCGGTCGCGAGAGACGCCGCCGGAGCGGAGGGCGGGAGCCGCTCGTTTCTGCGATGGGCGTAGAGGTGGTGGTGGTGGTGGCGGCTGGGAGGGGGCGACCGTGGAAGCGTGGGCGGACGGCGGGTGCAGCTGCGGCACCGTGAGAAACTGAGAAGAGTGAGTGGCCGAGATTGCTGACTGATCCACGGCTCAGCTAGCTTTGAGCCTTTGACTTTGATTTTTTTTTCCTATCGAATATTAGGCCAGTGCCGTCTCAATCGTTAGGCTAACTCCAAACGCACAACGTCCGTTTTATCTGGATTTCGTCTATTTAGAGGCGGCAATGTAGCGGTGTTGCCCGGATTTATGGATGCGTTGATCGCATCTGGTCCGCTGAAGAGAAGCATAACAAATACTCCCCCTGTCCGAAAATATTTGTCATCAAAATAGATAAAAAGGAGTGTATCTATAATTAAAATACATCTAGATACATTCCTTTTTATTCATTTTGATGACAAGTATTTTCGAACGGAGAGAGTGGTTGAAATCAAACATAGCAAATAGTTTCACATCTGAAATAGTCTTACAACTCAATTAAAATAAAATCAATATTAAGTAATCTTACAACCCAATCAAAATTTATTTGCATAAAAAGAAGTTAAATCGATAGATCTACTGGTTGCCAATGTTAGTCCACATGTGCTCAACCAACTCATCCTAAAGCTGCACATGAGTATTGCCAATCACGCATTTCATGATGAAATTGGACAAATTGTTGAACGGTTGCAGGAGATGGCTGCTCAGGCTCAACATTATCGCCCTGGAAATCAACCCTTGGTCGTAGATGCTATCACCACGCTCATCCTCCACGATCATGTTATGCATGATCACACAAGCAGTCATCACCTCCCAAAGCTTCGGAGTGCTCCATGTCAATGCAGGGTTCCGAACAATACTCCATCGAGACGGAAGCACACCGAAAGCACGCTCCACATCCTTCATAGCACTCTCCTGCATTTGGGCAAACCTCTTTCTCTTCTCTCCTTGCGGATTAGGTATGGTCTTCACAGAGTTGACCACTGATGATAGACACCACCAGCTAGGTAATATCCTCTTGTTGTAATGGTGGTCATTGATCTCAAAGTTGACCTCTGGAGAGTGGTCTCCTGCAAGCATTGCAAACACTGGAGAACGCTGAAGAATACTGATATCATTATGAGAACCAGCCATGCTTCAAGTATGACAGTGACACCTTTCACATGCCCCTTGTACTGTCCCTGCCAAGCAAAAGGACAGTTTTTCCACTTCCAGTGCATACAGTCTATACTACCAAGCATGCCCGCAAAGCCCCTATCGGCATTGATCGTCAACAACCTCTCTATATCAGCGGCAGTTGGCTCTCTCAGGTACTTAAGGCCGAACACTGCCACCACGGCCTTGCAGAAACTATACATTGAAAGGAGGCATGTGGGCTCGCTCATACACACATACTCGTCCACAAGATCACCAGGAATTCCATATGCAAGCATGTGAATAGCCGCAGTGCATTTTTGGTATTATATTATCACTTTTGTATGCTTTATATGCCATTTTATATCATTTTTATGGACTAACCTATTAAGTCGGTGCCCGGTGATAGTTCCTGTTTTTCTGCATGTTTTTTGTTTTCCAGGAAATTCATACCTACCAAAGTCCAAACACGATGAAACTTTTTGACGGTTTTTTCTGCATAAAAGGAGACCCTGTAAGCTTCAGGAGAGGGCTAGAAGACCCACGAGGCGGCCACAAGGCAGGGGACATGCCCTAGGTGGTAGGTCACACCACCCTGGCTTGTGCCCCCCCCCCCCC